CTAATTCATATTTTTTCTAGCATCAAAACATGTCTAAAATAATATAAACTTTTTGCATTCTTGCATTATACATATGGCAATTTTTAAATAAAAGAAATATTTTTTCTAAAACATTTTTTTTTTACCTTGGAGTGTTTTCATGTACTTTATTTGATATCTATAAATTCACAAAGATGGTTACTAATGGCAAATAATTTTGAGAGAGAATACATAAAATCTGAAAAAAACAAAAAACAAAAAAAAACATGTGGCCAGAGACATAGTCTTAATTATGGTATGAAATATTATATGCTATTTAAAATTCCTTTAGATGTTACAGGTATGTATAATCACTTTCACTGAGCATTAGTTATATACCCTTTCAAACTTTATTTCTCCTTTGCAATTAGAAATCACTGTCACATAACCTTTCAAAAGGGTCAATGCGGTCTAATTCTATACTTATCAAATTTGATTGAAAGTTTTGTTTTGTTTCCTAACACTCACAAATTATATGTTGCATGTGGCTGTTTATTTTCATAAAATGCACACAATGGAAGTAATTAGACACATACATACATACATACACGCACCTAAGGATGTGTGTATGCATCCATTTTGAAATGTGAGGTCATTTTACATTTGCTTATCCATAGATATTTGTTAAATTCCAAATGCATGTGAACTATAGATAACTGGGCATGTACGTCGTGAAGTGGTTGGCAATTAAATAAGGTAAGTCAATTAGCACAGAGAACTCACGTATATATTACCATTACTAGAGAAAAAGAACTTTGCTTCAAGTTAATGATAAGTACATGGAGGTAGCATATATAGACCCTGCTTTCAATAAATGTACGATTTGCTTGGGAATAAGATTTGCTTTGATACTTGAAAATACTCAATCCATGAACACAGAAGAAAATTCTTGCTTTTATCCAGGGGTTGTTATGGCATATCTTTCTGTTTCATTTGATCTAATAGATATTGTGCATCTTGTTTTAGCTCCATGTGGTGGACATCTGACAGCGTCCAGCGGAGTCATTTTGCCTCCTGGATGGCCAGGGTATTATAAGGATTCTTTAAATTGTGAATGGATCATTGAAGCAAAACCAGGCCACTCTATCAAAATAACTTTCGATAGGTAAGAAAACCAAATTAGTCTTCATTTGAACTCAATGATATGTGTCTCTTCCGTATTTTTAGTAAATTGATCTTAAACCTTAAAAAGATGGCAGTTCTCTTCGGTTCCCGCAAAGGAGCACACTTTACCAGAAACAGGCTCTTACTTGTACGTTTTGTTCTTCTTCAGTGCTATCTCTAAGCCCACCCTGAGCCCCAGCTCTGGAGGTTAGTAGGGGAAGTGCCGGTCCTGGAGGACCATTCCTGAGGTCCGACCCTTGTATCTGACTCTGGGTTTTGGACCCGCACTGGAATCCATTTTGCTTGGTGTCTGATTGCACATGGAAGTCGCTCTGGGTCCCCTGGTGCCTTAGGTGCCTGCTGTGGCAGAAGAAATCAGCTCTGCTGTTCTGGTGGTGGCTGCTGGTCACTAAGGGCAGCTAGTGATGATGAGTGGGCAGTGGGGTACGGCAGCGGATCCATCACCAGCTCATCGCCTATGAGTGATACTGTCACTAGAATGTTGCTTGGCTTAGCTATTGAACAACGCATTTCAGGATCTAAAACAT